CGCCACTGGTCTATTCACATTATAGGCAACATAATCAGCACTCTAATCTTGTTCTTTTATTTTTGAATGGACCACTAGACAAGGTACGAATTTCAGCATTCTGATACATGATTCGTAACCAAAATTTCACGTAGAACACGATGCGCACAACAAAAATTACCGCAATTAACTCCTTACGAAGATATTTAATGTTTATTGATGCGTGAATTCAAACCACCCGCCCATGAAAACTCAATGCTCTACGTGATTCACATCGCGCGCTAAACGTTATCATGACAGTCTCTGCGATATAAAAATCTGGCAACCTCAATCTTGACGCTTTGGCTCAGTTATAGCAAATTGCTAATAGTTTGAACAACACATGATGGGAAATGAACATTGCTCGATTGAGAATCTTGCTGAAACCGTTGTAGTGCGCGATTCGACTCAAGTAGAGCTTTGAGTTTCTTGTGAGCGGGCAGTTCAAATTCCTCGTAACCAATGTGAAATAAAAACGTTAATATCTTCGTTAGGAGTTGGTTTCAGTAATTTTTGATGCGCGAATCGTGTTCTACGTGAAATTCTGGTTAAGAAACATGTATCAGATCGCTTAAATTCGTACCTTGTCTAGTGGTCCATTGTATGATTTTCTATATTTATTCACCACTGGCTTGTAAATTGCCCGCGATTGCCAATTGCCTGCGACGCATATCGATGGTGAAACTACCAAACCACGTATCTCGGTTTGCGACGTCGCAGACTTCCTGTCATACTTTATTTTTTAAATGAAAAACTAATTAACGTCCAGTCTTGAAAATTTCTGTGATTTTTCCTCTTTGTGCGGATAAAATTCCGTGAAAATTTCAAGGAATGATATTGATTTGGTCTACTTCAAAAAAATAAAATGTGAGCGTAGATTTTTAAACACCGCAAACGAGATACGTGGTTTGGTAGTTTCACCGTCGATATACTGCTCTCTCAGTTTTGCGGTGATGCTCCCGTCGGAATCCTTTCAACCGATGCGATGGCCCGTTTCGATTCTGTGTCTTTGGTGCGCAGTCGTGACTCAGCGACTCACGTCGTTGCTGGGGGCGTTGGGAAACCTCTCCTCACGCCTTTTAGCAACGTTTACTCGCGGCATCTTTCCATGCACCCGTTACGTTTTTTTTTTTTTTTTTTTTTTTTTTTTTTTTTTTTTTTTTTTTTTTTTTTTTTTTTTNTTTTTTTTTTTTTTTTTTTTTTTTTTTGCGCCGACGATTCGCACAAGCGTGTCAGCCGCTGCTAGTGGAGAATATACAGTTGCGGATCATCTGCCGTCACAAATATTCGAGTCCTATACAGGGTGGCCCAGACCTACCGCACCAGGCCTTTTTTTCGGTTAATTTGGGTCACACGAAGTCCAGGATCGCGGGGATGAATAGGGAATCGACCCTCCAAACCGGTTAAACTTAAAAGTTCAGAGTCCCCCTGTGCCCCATCAGAAAAGTCTCTGAGGACAACGGGACCCTCAAATTCGGATTCCCTGGGGTCGATTACCCATGAACACACATTTTTTCCGAGTCTCCACGTCAATTTGACGAACTTGAATTTTTTTGAAAGGGGGCTCTGTCCCCCGCCTGTAGGGGTCGGTATTTTGGACACGGGTGGACCGATTTTGGATTTCTTGGTGTCGATTTAAGTTAAAAATTTTCGTACGTTCTGATTCCGATGAAATAATTTCAAAATTTTGACATAAACCCTGACTTTTGAAGTACGGGCCCCCCCTTTACCTCCCAAGGGGCGCCAGGGGGGCTCTGGGACCATGAAATTCGGATTCCTTGGGGTCGATCCCCTATTCATCCCCGCGATCCTGGACTTCGTGCGACCCAAATTAACCGAAAAAAAGGCCTGGTACGGTAGGTCTGGGCCACCCTGTAGACTACCAAATTGACCCTAAGACAAGCATGGCCAGGAAGTCAATGAAGCGCGAAAAGGGCCAAAAGTCGAGAATCCACAGCATAGGTGAATCTAAAGTACCTACTCTGAGAAAAAAAGTTCGGTCATAAGAACCGAATGTACGGTGTTCAATAGCGGCAGTTTTGCTCGGTTCATGCGACCGCTCTCTCGGTTCATGCGACCGCTCTCTCGGTTCATGCGACCGCTCTCTCGGTTCATGCGACCGCTCTCTCGGTTCTGGGAACCGTATTTTCGGTTCATACAACCGAGTTTTTTCGTTGGTTCTGTTCGGTTTGAATGCTTGGCTGCATGAGCCGAGGATACAGTTCCCAGACCCGAGAGAGCGGTTACATGAACCGAACAATACGGCCGATATTGAACACGGTACATTCGGTTCTTATATGACCGAAGTTTTTTTTCTAAGTGTATAAAGCGAGAGTATAAGACAGATGTTAAACTCCGAAAATCCATCAGGCCTTCCCCGATGCCTCCACGAATAAAGTTAGGGCCCAGAAATGCAGCCAACCTATGAATTTCAATTATCCAGAGCGATTTACTGATACAATTGTTAGGAACCATCGTTTATAAAGCACGTATTTGACTGAGTTTTTGCATAAATTTACTCATTTTTGCGGATGAACGCTCATTTATGTACATTCTTGGTTAGCTTGGTTAGAATTGGAATCTGCAGACTCTGCAGATTGGCAGTGAAATTTTGTGTGTTCGAAGTTGGTTGGAAGAATGGCCGCAATTTTTGGCCCTAAGCCCTCCATGAAGTGATCTGTTCATACTCTCTCTTTATAGGTACTTACTTTAAGCGGATCTAGATACCTCGAAAGGGGAGCGGAAAGGGGAGGTCCAGGGGTATCCCCCGGAAAACGTTCGTGGTCACATAAAATAACTGAAAAAATTACATGATGTTTAGAAAAATTTCATGCTGGGATATCCCTCAATTTTGATTTTCAGTACATACAACAAATAAAGACTGGTAAAACGGAATTCGCCGTAAGTTAACCACAGTGTTGATTTATACCATTCGCGTGAGTCGAATTGTTTTGCAATCACTCGTTTCGTTTCTCTTTAAAAATAGCGTAACTCCGTTTCAATGTTGCCAAATTCTTCCGAGCAAATTGACCTATAAGAGAATTTTGGTATTTTTAAATTGAAAATTTCACTGACTTTTCCGCTTATCTCACGCAAGAATTAGACAGATTTTCAACGATAACTGCGCCTGTACATATTTGTGAAAAATTGAATTTTTTTAGTCAACTTTGCAACCTCGGAATGGAGTTACGTTTCTTCGTCCGGGAAACTACGAATTAGGACAAAGAAGAAGAGGACCATACTGCTGTGCTGAGGAAAAACACCGTATGAGCCTTCAGGTGTTGCCAAATTTCATTTGATAAAACACGAATTTCCTGGTGAACTTATGAAAATTTTTCTTCTAATTTTTCTCATAATTTAGTTCGGAATTCCACCTGAATGTCATGAAAATTTCAAGGGAAAATATGCATTATGTTCCTTATAAATGAACGTTTTATCGAAGGAAATTTGGAAACTCTCAAATGTTCATACAGTGTTCTTCCTTTTCAAGGGTGAAAAAATCACGTTCTCTCAAAATTCCCTCTCACGGGTTACGGGGCTTGAATCCGGTTAGAATGACCTCTCGTTCGGGTTTTTTTCTTCTTTTCTGGCGATGGCATTTAAAATGTCTCGATCATTGATGACATCACTGTGCTTATAACGGAGTTCCCTTCCAAACTAAAATTGCTTGGTGATAAGAGTATAGAGAAAATTTGAATCTAGGTGGCTCCCAAATTCTTAATCGAGTCGATATTGCTAATTTTAAGCGAGTAAAATATTTCCCCCATTTTTTTGGGGTTTAACATTAATTTTATTTTTCTGTTCCATTCCGTCAGGTTTTCCGTGTAGGTTTTTTTTTTTTTATCAAACAATGCCATGAAAAATTGTTTGATACGTCGAGCATATCCAAAAAATAAAGACAAAGATGAGAACCAAAGTTAAGATAATTTTAATCATTATATCGACGGCCAAAATGCGAAACTACGCAAGTACCTCCGTTTGCAACGTTTCAGACTTCCTGTATTACTTTATTTTTTCATTGGAAAAGCAGTCAATGTAATTCCTTAAAACCTTCCTTTTTTTATATCCATCTGTTAGTGATAAATTCTATGCGTTATTTGAAATGTGAAGTTGTACATGGTTCCGCACTTTAGCCATCGATATGATGTCTCGGAAAAAAAATTCCCTCGAACATCGAATCGTCTTCAGACGATTAATTTTTGTAGCAATTAGATTATAGATCTTAGATTTTATATAATTGATTTTACGTAACTCAGCTTTTAATCTTAAAGGAATAAAAGATTTTCCCTCCAATATGAAAGAATATCTACACAAAGTGGGTATTCATTCAAGGTTGGTTCCCACTCAGACCGACTATTCTAATGTATTGCCGCACTGCAATACTGCCGTGCCAAGAAAGAACGCCGTGTGTGCCTTCAGACGTTTCTAAGTTTCCTTCGGTAAAAACCGAATTTACTGGGAAAATTGTGAATATTTTCCCCACAATTTTCAGACAACTTTGTAAGCAATTTAATCTAAAATATCTGAAAATGTCAAAAAAAAAAAAAAAAAAAAAAAAAACAGAAAACAAAAAAACAAAAAACAACAACTGCATGTATGCCGTCAACAATACACGTTTCATCAAAGGAAATCCGGCAACGCCTGAAGGTTCATACGACGTTTCTCCTCAGCGCGGCAGAATTGCACCCAGTTTGCATCGTGATCAACTAGCAGCATAACTCGTGACTTGAAGGCGCTATCAAAAACATTGACATCATGACTGCTATCAGATTTTATAAAGACACCAGCACGGGTGCGAAACTGTAGGTTTCATTTTACATCCTACGAAATATTACCATCAGAAATGACCTTCCACTTTTTATTCTCTAAGTCGGAGGTACTCTAAATTGTCGTTGATATCTATAATTTTAAATCCAAGAAAAACAGAATGACAAAAAAAGAAGAATCTCAAGTAAAATTAAATTGAAAAGTACATTTCTTACCGAAGAAGTCGAAGATATTTTATCGGGTCAGAATCCTGAAGTTATAACGCCCACATGAAAACCGCTTAGAGAAATGCCACGAGTAGTTCCTCTTTGAGGTAACGTTTGCATTATGTGTCTTTTTACCAATTATGGACAGTTATTCTGATAATAATAAAGTCTTCATTGACGGTCCATGACTTTCTACAAATTTTAAATTTATGCGAATTTTGAGAATGCCAAGGCGTGTCCAAATATACTTAATAACTCCTCTGATTTAGCAAAAAATTAAGAGTGACATCTAAAGAAGCTATTTGTTGACATAACTCAGTATAAATGTATTACTCCACAATCTTCATTTAGTTGGAATAATTATTTTACTCGTGAAATGAAAACCTTCTGTGATTATAAATGTTTGACTAGTGGCTAAACTTCATCTTATACCCAATTGAATTTGTTAATGTTGAATAACCTATAATTACAAAACACCGTTGCAAAATTGCCCGCTTTTCAAATACAATATCACTTAACACTGCTTTTACACAGGATTTTTTTAACATTAATCAGCTATTCAATTCGCAACTTATCGGCAACTGACGTCTACTTTTGAAAACTCCGCAACAAGGTCGATGTAAAAAAGAAGTTTTCAGCGCCAAATAATCGGTGCTTAACGAATTAAAATTACACGACTGGCACGACAGAAACTTCTCAAAGGTGACAAGAAAACTGAGACGCAAGGTGGAAAGTCATGTAAGAATCAGGACGTCGGATGAAATTGTAACACAAATATTTGGAAAGCCATTTTATGACTCCCCATCAGATAAGATAGATGTATTCAGGGCTACGCGTGTTGACCGAACAGCCCTCTCGCCAGCGTATCATTATCCCGGGTGATATACAATGTTCTTTGACATCTATTAGATCTCGCGCGTGAACAAGCGGCGCACAGTGGCTCGATTCCATAGAGGAGGTCGGAAAAAATTTGGAAACTTTATAAGCTTATAACTCCGTCCATACAAAACTTTGAGGTTTTAAAAGTGGTTCCATTAGTTTCCTCGTAAAATTTTCTTACAGGAATACCCCTTAAAATTTAAAATGTGACGAATTAAACATCAAAATTTGCAGTTTTAGTTAAAAATGTCACGCCCGACATCTTTAATTGACTCGATCCACTGTGCGGCACTTGTCTTGTTTGTTTGTTCACAGCATAATAAGGGCTTCGCACGCCTACAGGATGAAAAGTGACGAAAAGCCAGCTCTGCCCTGAAAGTGAAATTCGCAGAATGGGCGATGAGAATCATTGTGAGCCCGTGTGTCATTGAAGGATTTTGTGACAACCTGATTTTGCCTACAACGAGACAGAGATCGCAGGCTTTTCTTCGGACTGACATCAAAATTGAAAAATTGATGGCTAAGTTCGAAGACGCGCTTTAAGACTTCGATAATTTCAGCATTGATCCAACTTAAATTTTGGAAAGCATAATGGCTTTCACTGAAATAAAAAGTTCGGCGAATCCGAATGAGTTAGGAGCATATGGAACCAGGTTTTGTTTGGTACACACGACCCAACCAAACCAACTGATCAACCAAACTGATCGATCCGCTGAACAGAACTATTATAGTTCGGTTCAGCGGACTGAACAAAACGTGGTTCCATATGCTCCTACCTAGTTCGGATTCACCGAGCTTTTTTTCACTGTTTAGGATAGGGCGCATGAATGTATGTAGTTTTTGAAAAAAATTGATATTTTAAGTAACATCCACTCGCATCTTGCACTTACATTCTTACCAAAAGGAACCAAGAGCATTCCCATGTCGCTAAAGTAATATGCAACGTGTATTACCTTGCAAATATCAAATGATCGTCGAAACAAGTTTTGCTTTTGTCTTGCGCCGAATAACCTCGAATATAAATTCAAGGCAAAAATTACTTTTGTAAATTTAATTTTTTTGCATGATTACAGTAACTTTACTGTAAAGAATGTTTTCACAATTCTAGCAACATTGGAATGCTCTTGGTTCCTCTTTGAAAAATGCAATGCATTGTTTTTTTTTTGTTTTTTTGTTTTTTTTGATTGCTTTTATTCTGTTAATCCATCTTCAGTTGACAGCTTATTCGAGTTCGAACACTGTCATCTCGCCGCATGCTTTGTCTGAACTATTGACGACGTGTGATTTCCTTGGTAGGTATCATCCACTCGAAACTCGCCTTCAATTTTGCCGGATAGGCAACAAACATACCGCAATTACATATCCGAAAACACGCTCATATAGCTCCATAAGATTAGATAGAACCGATAAAGGATCTGTGTTTAACCTATCGGTAGGTATCGTCCATTCGAATTTACACTCAACGTTTCCCGCGCATGGGCTATAAACAGACCAGAGAACACGAATGGTTATCATACATTAATCTCCCTCTATAAACTTTCTTAAACCAAGAGACCGTGCGTACACTTATTGAGGCTCAGAGATATCGCCCACTGGAGGTTCGCCTTCAATTTCGACTCAGGCAACAAACACAACGCAGGGCGCGAATAGTCAACACTTCGCAAATAACACATCTGTATCGCCCCATCGAACCGAGCTCATTCAACCATTCATTCGGCCATTCGAGCTCCGATCTAACTACGGAATGGTGTTGTTAACCTATTGGTAGGTATCACGCTGTACTGCCGTGGTAGCGGAGAGAGCAGTAAGTGCAGAAATGAAATTTTTAGAATACGGGCTCAGAGGCTTTTGAACGGAAAATGTTATTGAAAGAAGCCTCTGTTCTTTGTCAAATTGCCACTAACCATCCGAGAGACTCCTAAAAATCTTTTGGATGATTAAAAATCGACCGGTTTAATTAAAATTACATAAAAGGAGTTTATTCATTTTCATGTTGGGCCACTAGACGCTGACACGCAAGACAGCTGTAAGCTCTATCTTCTGCATGCTTTCGTGGTTGCGTTTTGGACACACAATGAACATATTTTCAGGTTCTAACCTGAAAATTTTCTAATGAAGAACTTCTAAGTTGTCAGAAGAGGACGGCCTTTATCTCGAAAAGCATTGTTTTCATTGGCTCTCTGGAGGAATAATGCCACTTATACTGCTGTCTTGCCTGAAACTACGTCATTTTTTGCGCACTTACGGCTTTATAAAGTAAAGATGAATTTTGCTGTTTTAGCTATTTCAGTGATTTCATCTAAAAGAGATTAGGCGAAGTTTGAAGGAAACTTGATTTCGAATATTTGACACTTATCGCTTTCTTCGCTATCACGGCCGTATAGTTCGCCTTCAATTATCCTGCATAGGCAACAACCACACCGGAGAACAAGAATAGTTGTATCGCGCATTTTGCCCTCAGCTTGGTGTTGATAGAAGACGGTGAAAAATAATGCTGTACGAACATTCAAGTGTTGCATAATTTTCCCGTGCGAAATATTTAATTTTTTAGACGGATACTAATCTTTTCCTTGCAAGTTTTGAGTACTTTTGTATTACATCGCGAATAAATTTCCCTGAAAAATTTGAGGATAAATATTCGCAAATTTCCTGAAATATCGCATATTTGAGAAATGAAGAGATTTCTTGTAAAAGTGAGATCTGGGTGTCTTTAGGACCGATTCTCACGATATTTTTCGAATGTATCTGTACGTCTGAAGATTTGCCAAATTCAATCAGATTCGAGCCTTTGAAATTCCTCAATTTTTTTTTTTAAAAAAAAAGAATAAATAAATAAATATAGATGAGAAAAGTTTCGTTTACGTATATGCGTTGCATTCCGGTTTTCTTTCTGTTGATTCGCACGGCGTGTGATTGATAGCTCCCGTGCTGCTGCCTTTATTCCCGTTGAAGTCGTAAAAATCTCAGCAGGTCGCCTCCAGATATTTTCGAGGCCTCATGAAACCCATTTCGACGGTGAAAGTCGGCAATCAGCCTCAAAATTTGCAGTTCTAATCAAAAATTTAATGTCCAAACCCTCTCATTGATTCCATCCTCTGTGCGACGTTGCCGGTTATAGGACATTTCGTCAACGATTTTTTGTCCGCGCACCTGTTTTTTCCAGTAATTTACGTCCACGGTTTTTTCGGCACGGGAGTTTTGGTTCACGTGTCAGTTGAGACCCAAAGTTAATTGGCCCACCTGTAAATACAAACGACAATGCTCACGACGTTTTAGGAGGAAAATGTAAAATGTCTTGGAAGAATGAGGGTTTGCTTGTTTTTTTGTTTTGGCTGTTTGGTCCAACGGAGAATAATATATAGTTGAGAGTTTTGGTAAAAATGGGGGAGCGTCAATTCCATGAGACAAAATTCACTAAAACTCTCTACATCTCTTTGGTGTAACAGGACTTAATTATCTTTCAAGAAATTCCCACCTTGTTATACCTAAACCGGATGAACCTCTACATTTGCCTCAGCTAAAGGCTCTTACATTTTTCTTGTGTACAATAAGTATCTTGATTTATTTTGCGAGGAAAGATCTGTACTTTTAAAGGATGCCTGTCAATCTTAATACATTTAAGTTCGTATAATACTGTGCAACACCTCTGTTGTGAAATAGTTGCTTCAGGCGCCGCCGCACGGCGGGCGGGCGGCCAGCGCGAAACGCGCATTGGCGCCTACAAACCTAGGTGGATACTTCAAGCATTGTGCAATGCGTGAAGTATCCACTTAGGTTTGTAGGCGCCAGTGAGCCTCTCGCGCTGGCAGTACGCCGCTCCGCTCCGTTATAGGCTTTAACATTTAGCGTTTTTTAACTCATGATTTTGAAATGTTAGCACATTCTGCATTGATTAATCTCACTTAAATTGATGGTAAAAAAAATATGTATCAATTTATCAAAGGAGAATAATAATAAAATGTGTGTTTTTTTTAAATGTTGGTGGTTCCGTGTCAAATTTAATGATTTCCATAGCACTTTAATTTTTTCTTTTACATTTTGTGCTTTTATTGTGCTGCAGCGAGGTGTACGTGCAATGAAACGCTCAAAATTTGACGTATTTGACTCTAAAAGATCGATGTACAAATGGGTTAAAACTAAAGATTGCGTACTTCTTGGTTTTTTCTCCTCTTTTATTCATTTTTGTTGTTTCTGTCGGCGCAACTGCGGCTCATTGAGATTAATGTCGCTTGGAAAAGGTTTTACGAATATTTGTCACGTTTTAAACATATAAATGTTTTCAAAATGAAGTATTAATTTCCCAAAGAAAAAATTAAAAAACGTACCTATACATTTATAAGGTATATTGTACATCGAATATTTTAAGGATAGAAATAAAACCAAATATTCACCAATGACAATTTAAAAAGATGTAGTAGTAGTAAAATAATTTTATTTTAAAGCGGTGCTTTAGCAAAGATGATTCAAAAGGAGAAAGTAATAACATTTCATTTAGAAAATGAGAAACCATAACAACACCTCCTTCTCTCTCAATTTCTCATTTCCATATTGTCAATATAATTTTACATACCGACTAAAATATAACGCTTGGACCAAGTCACCGTTGCTTATTTTACGCGTGGGCGTAAACTACGGGACAAAAAAGGTGCGCGGACAAAAAATCGTTGACAAAATGTCCTGAAAACACGTTGCCAAAATCGTCCTCCTGGATCAGAGAAGGTAGGGGCCGCAGCCCACATTTTAAGACAGCAAAGTTCTTATATCGACGGTGTAAGTCGGCAATCACATAACTCGTTTGCGGTGTCTGAAAATCTCCGCCTCTGTATTTTTTTTTTTTAAATGAGAACAAATTGACATCATTCCTTGAAGTTTTTGCAGAATTTTCCTCTCACAGAGAAGAAAAATCACGGCAGTTTTAAAGAATTACCGGTGAGTAGTTTTCCGTTAAAAAAATAAAGTATGACAGGAAGTCTGCGACGTCGCATACCGAGTTATGTGATCGCCGACTTACACCATCGATATGCATTTAATCAATCAAATTCTTATTCGAAAAATTGACAATTACCTGATAAAAGGCATTGATAGTTTACTTCATAGGCACGAAAAGCAACGTTGGAATGAGTTCCGGTGTGAGAGAATTAAGACAAGCTCCCTTACTTGATAGTGTTGAGTGCGATGAACACCATCAAAATTTCATTTCAACTCCTGGATGCAACTATTCGGGCTCCATGGATGTCTGTGTTGCATACAACCGTAATTGAAGGCGTTTTGATTTTTCGGCCACTCAGCATTTCACCGGCGGCGGCCCTCGGGCTGCGGCGTGGCGCCAACGCAAACGACGGACTTCATTGCGAGGAACCTGTGGCGTGGCGTGAATTGCGATATATCGATTGTTATGCCATTTAAACCTAAGAAAAAAGATCGATTATCAAGGTGTTCGCAGCGAACACCTTAGTAATCGATTCTTTACCATAGTTTCAAATGGCGAGATATCGATAATCGATTATTCACGCCACGCCACTGCAGGAACCATCATGGCAAAGACCATATTGACGGCGTAAGTAATCACATATCTCTTTTGCGGTGTCTGAAAATCTCCGCCTCTATTTTATCTTTTTAAAGGAGAACAAATTAACATCATTCCTTGAAGTTTTTGCAGATTTTCATCTCACAAAGAAGAAAAATCACGGCAGTTTTAAAAAATTGCCTTTGAGTAGCTTTCCTTCTAAAAAATAAGTATGACAGGAAGTCTGCGACGTCGTAAACCGAGTTATGTGTTTGCCGACTTACATCGTCGATATCTATAGGCACGAATAGTTGCATACGAGCGTAGAATGAGAGCAACTTTTGTGCTTCAGTTTTGAAATCGAAATGCGCTGAGCATGATTTGTAGAGCAACTACCTACCCATGCATAAGAGTTTTCTCCGAAGTATTAATGAGGAATTAAAGGTCCTCTGTCATTTTAGATCCTCGCGGTAAAGCCCGCCGCACAACGAGTCGACCCTTTCAGAGAGGTTTGACATGACATTTTCGACTTAAACTGTAAATTTTGATGTTAATTTCTTCACATTTTGAATCGTATCAGGTGCTTTTGGAAAGAAATTTTACGAGGAAATCGATACAAGCACTTCTAAAATCTCCATTATCCGTATTAACATCGTTATGAGCTCTCAACGTATCCACTTTTCATCCGATTCCTCTCATTGACTCGCTGCACTGAGCGCCGCTGTTGAGGCGGTTAGTGTCTGAAATCAAAACGCCTTCACTTTTGCATGTATGCAACACGGACATCCATGAAGCCCGAATAGTTGCATTCAGGCGTTATGATGCAAATCGCTTGGTGTCCATCGCATGCGGCACTGACTGAAGCTTTGACAGTTTCTTTTATACCTTGCCGCGATTCCAGCTTTGCCCATTGCGCCGATGAAGTAAACCATTACTGATTTTTATCGCAACCCAAAAAAAAAGAAGAAATAAGTATACCACACATCGACGCGCGATGAATAAAATTGCATACTGACAGACTTTATCGTGGCGCGTGGCGTCTGTACTCGCAGATCCACGACTGGAATATGGACGTATTTCTATCAAACGGAACTATGTGCATTAAGACATGAGCCCTGAGACCCATAAGAATACATGCATAACAGGGCTCACGTCATTATGCACGTAGTTCCGTTTAACAGAAATACGTCCATATGATGTGGGTGAGTGGGCCGGACGGAAGTTCACTTGCGATGGGCCCCGACCCATAACCTAAACTCCCGTCCGCTATCTATTTATAAAGCCACTCAACGCCCCCCCCCCCCCCCCCCCCCCCCNTCCGCCGTCGCACAGTGGATCGAGTCAATTAGAGAGGTCGGACACGAAATTTTTGACTAAAACTGCAAATTTTCATGTTTATTTCGTCACATATTAAATTTCAAAGGTTGCCTGTTGCTGAAAATTTTACGAGGAAACCAATGAAACCACTTTCGGAACCTCAAAATTTTGTACAAACGAAGTTATATGCTTTTAAAGTTTCCAAATTTTGTCCGACTTTCCCTATTGACTCGGTCCATTGTGCGCCGCTCCACCGCTCGACTACTGGACGTATTGCTCCCGAACGGAACTATGTGCATTAAGACATTGGCCCTGAAACCCATAAGAATAAATGAATAACAGGGCTCACGTCATAATGCACATAGTCCCGTTGGGCAGAAATACGCTTAATTAATGCTGAAACCAGCTCCCATCGGCACCTCTCTTTTAAAACAAAGTAGTCCCTCCGCAACCATTCTTCTAGGGCTCCCAGGCGTGAGGCCGAAAGTTTAGCTTTCTACTAAATTTGAGAATAAACAATCACATTTTGATGAATTTTCCAAATAAAAATTCACTAGCAGTGAATGCACTAGCAGTGTGCATTTTCTCCTAGGATTCTGTTTTCACGCAAAAATTAGCACTTAACTAGGAAGCTGAGCTTTGTCGAGGTTTTGAGCTGATCTGTGAAAATTTAACGTGAAAACCCTGTTTCAGCCATGCGCTATTTTGGTAACAATCTGAAAGAGGGGGATTGAAAGTTCAGCTTTCTGCTAAATTTAAGACTAGAAAATCACATTTTGATGAAATTCCAAATGAAAATTCAGCCAGTTTCAACACCATCAGTGTGCATTTTATCCTAAGATCCTGATTTCACGCAAAAATTAGCTCTTACGGTTCTTAAGTTTCGGGAATTTGCCTCGTACTTTGCAGAAAATTCACTGAAATTTGCATAAAAATCCGCACAACCGTTTTCAAGTCCCTCGCTAAAACTTAAATTGCCGTATTAAATTTGGCAATAGCTGATGTGGCTTGGTTCCTTTCTGCTTAACGCGGTCCATTTAGAAGCAGTCTGGTTAGTGGTACTATGCCATGATGATGCTCACTGCTCAGTGACGAGGCGTGAATGATGGATTTTCGATTTTCTCCCATTTGAGGCTATAGTAAAGAATCGATTATTACGGTGTTCGTTGCGCACAACCACGTAGCCAGGATTTTGTTTCGGGGAGGGGGGGGGGGCTTGCGGGGTCCCTCTACTACCGGGGGGTCTGGGGGGCATGGAATACCCCTCAGTTCGGAGGGGGGTCCGGGAGTCCTCCCTCGGAAAATTTTAGAAATTTGTATTCAAATTAGACGCATTTTGAGGCTTCCGTGACGCAGATTTTTCATCAATGTCTGCAGAATAGTTACGTTTCCTTTTTGAACTTTCAGCAAAAAAGACTTTTGAATTATATGCATTCAAAAAGATCCTGAAAATTTTTTCAAATTCCAACTCTATTTGGACGCATTTTGAGGCTTTTCTGACGAAAATTTTAGGAACGAACACGGTGTTTTCATTTAAGACTCTACTCTACATTAAAAGAGATAAATATCTTCGACGGTCTCAAACTTCTTCTTTTCCCGCACTTCTCATCTTCTGTCTCCTCTTTCCTTCTCTCTTTTCCTCCTTTTTTTGCTTTTGGNGGGGGGGGCTTGAGCCCCTCAAGCTCCCCCCCTGACTACGTACTTGGTTGCGGACCCCCATGTTTATCGATCCTTTTCCATCGGTTTAAATGACAGATCAATCGATTAGAAGGTAGGTACATAAAAACTCGAGAAATCCGTAAAAGGAGATTCCAGCGGAAGAAAGGATGAGGGCAAGGAATAATCATTTTAGATCACATCAGAAAACTTAATAGGCCCCCCTCCCCTCCCTTTTTTTCCGTAATATGGGGTAGGTTGTTACATTCTGAGGAGCGCAAAAATCGGAAAAAGAAAAAATTAAAAATTAACGCTGATATATGTGGATAAGAGGAAGAGTGTCATGCACACGTTAGAGCTGTAATTTTTTAATTGATTTTTCCTGAAAATTGAGTTGAGCTTGTGAAATGGNGGGGGGGGGGGGGGGGAGGGGCATGACAAACTGTTTTATCTTCCTCATCTTCGTTGCGCGGGAAGTTCAAAAAAATCCATCTACGCCTTTATCATTTGTAACGAATAACTTGATTACTTCACTTACATTCATAATTCATGTTTTATGTTTCATGTTTCATGTTCCATGTTCAGTTATATATAAAAAGACCTCGTGAAAGTTATTGGTGTTTTGCGTAGAATTTTTTCCCAACGAAAAGCGCCAAAAGCAACGCCAAAAGGCTTTCATGGACTCTTCTTACTCTTACTTTCGAGACTACACCATTCAACAGTTGATTTACCCACTTGTTGGCTGTTGAGCGATATCGTAGTGGTGAGTAGTGGAGTGGAGGGGCGAACCGAACAGAAAAGGACAATGCGAGTTTTGCTTCATGGGGGCTGCTGCGAAATCTGTGATAAAATAATTATAAATATTATCTTCCGTTATTTTCCATTTCTGTGAGATGAAAATGGCGTCCCGACTTTTAACTTCTAACTTGTTTGTGTTATTAAATTTGTGCCTAATTTCCTCTTGTTATTGTCGCAATTCTCGTAAGTACAATTCTTTATTACCCAGTTTCACTTCAGTGCACTCTTAGTCAGTGACTCACATATACGCAGTTTCTCGTCAAGATGCAGCGAGATCCGTCGAAAACTGCAGATGGTTTTGGCGTCCATAATTTGCCTTTGATAATTTCCAACTTCGACTATATTCGTCTGCAGTCCTTTTCTGGACCTACTCACTTTTTTCTTTGTTAACTCCCTCATGTTGCATTTCAACTCTACTGTGTTATGCTAATAACCTCAACCATCTTGAATCAAAACATCAGTAGAATAATACCTAACTTAACAAGAAGAAGCTCCAACAGAATACCAACTGAGTTTTCCTCTCTGGTCACTACGCAATGCGTACAATATACTCTCACTCCAACTCTCTGGAATGTACCCTCAAATTGTCCTATCGCAGCATCCAGACTGTTCGTAACCCCATATAAATTTTAGGTAACTTCAGCTTTGGTTGGGTACCTACTTGTCATCTTGAGAACTTTTTTATGATTCTCTTGCTTAGTCATCGCTAGTGAAATCAAATTTTGCTGGTGTCTAGTCGGTAGTCAGGAATCTGTCGAATGTTTTCCAACCTTTTGCTATGCCTTACTTGAAAACTGATTAGTAATGATGTCCTTGCTAAAGATATCATATATATGCTCATATCATACCCACTGCCCTTGACTCATACAGCAAGATTAGTGCTTTTATTGTTTTTGCATCCTCCTTTGTCAAAAAGCAACGACCTAAATTATGTGCGCCATTAAATATCTGTCTCTTTAAATGGGGAGTTGATGGGTTGTAAGTGGCACTAAGTTTTTCATGTTAGTTTCTTTGCCCTAAAATATTTAATACTGTACTTTAATTGAAACCATAAGCTTCTCTGTTCTCAGATTTATATTACGAAACAGATAGCTTGAGTTTTGAAGATCATGACTTCTCACCCATTGACCATGTTCGAGCCAAACGGAGTCCCTACAATTTATCTCAAGACTCCGCTCATATCCTGCGCAACGCCAATTCTAGTGAAGACATCTCAGGAAAACCGATGAGCAAATCGATTTCTATCACTGAGCCAATTGATTCCAATGCAAACATTAGCCCCTCTGTAGCACACTCACCAATACTCGTTTCCAGTAAGTATCCTTTGATATCATCAGACGTGAGATAGATCTAATCTGTTGGGAACATATTATTCATGATGATAAAAGAGGACCGTTGAACACCAAAGAGACCAAAAAAAATTTTTTATCGGTCAAATTGCACAAAGATAAATTAAGAACATCACAAATGCCTTAGGTACTCCCTGCAATGTACAAATTACGTAATCTATATTGTGCATTATCAAATTTACATTGTTCTTTAGCAATTTTTACTTGGGCGTCCAACAATGAGCTTTTCTTAGAGAGAGATGTAAGTAAGAAAACCTGAACAAGTAAACAATTTCTCAAACTGTTTTTAACAAAAATCAATGAATGATTTCAGCTAAGGGGCTGTCCATAAATTACCGTCACCCATTTTTCTCAATTTTTTGACCCCTCCCTCCCTCACCGGATCCAACTGCCATCCATTGCTAGACCGCCACCTTCCCTGAAAATTACATCATCCTTAGCGTATCCCCCTTCCCCTATTTTTGGGGGAAAACGCAGAAAATCGATAAATTTTAGCAGATATACTTTGTCTGTAGTATGTAATAAAAACATGATTACTTTATTTTTGTGAGTATATTACATATATTTTGCTTTCCCCCCCCCCCCCTTTGTTTTGGGGGAAACGTTGAAAACTAATAAAAATCAGTAGGTACAGCCTGCAGCATTAAGAACATCAACATACCCTTAAATTTCATGCAAGTATTTTCAGCCTTTTTGTCTCTAACCTTATAGTTATTTTCGTATTGCACCTGTTTTGTCTCCAGTTTCTTCGAAATCAACCATAATTTTGTCAAGAGCCATGAAAAAATCCTTGAAATATGAATAAAATTGATACAAGTTATCGGGCTATATAGAAGGAGAGGTAGAATAATATGTATATTAATCATTAGCAATAGAGAAGGAGAGGTAGAATAATATATGCACAGAGAAAAGAGTATAGTTAATAATATTTAAGTGCTTGATTTGACAACATGAAGCATGGAATTTTACATTGAATATGGCCAAAACAGAGATCTGGGCTGTATGTAAATTATTTAAATGCCAAAGCTAGATTTCAAATGTTTTTTGTGCATGGTGCTTCAATCACACTGATCACTGTTTCTATAAAACCAATTACACAGAATCTCTGAGCTTTGGCTAATTTTTTATAAAATTACTAAAGTAAAAAAAATTGACTTGTTTCCCTTCTTCATTTCCAGATCCAGGCGAGAGTGGAAAATATCCTCGAGGCAAAAATTTCACTGGTCTAACTCGAGTCTCTCCCATCAGCTCTGGTCTAAGCACTCCCCACATTCTTGGTGGCATAAGTAAGTTAATCCATGAAGCTGTGGTGAAACGTTTGTAATCAGTGTAAGGACAAAGCAAAACAATGTTTACTGAGGTTGTCCCGTAGCCAACGGTGCACATGGCAAATTTTTGGCAAAGATGTATGCTCACATGGACAGTGTAACTGCAGAAATGCGTAACCCGGTTTCTGAGGTTGCAGGCTTCCTGTCATACTTTATTTCTTGAATGGAAAATACTTGATGTCATTTCTCAAACGCTACCTTGATTTTTCTTATCTGTATGAAGAATATCCCTCGAAAGTGTAAAGCAATAGCGTTGTTATGTGATTCTTTCAGAGAATAGAATGAGAGAGGGAAAGTTAAAAAAGGAACCTAAAAAGGAAAGTTAAATAGGGTTTAAAAAGGTTAAAAAGGGAAGGTTAAAACCCTGCAAACGAAGTAAGCAGTATCATCGTTGATGTGTTGAGTCCGGTTAAAATAGATTTTGAGATTTGAATAGGAAATTCCTTCCAGTGTCCTCGAAAGTTAGTTGTGAATGATTTAATTCATTTTTGTGTCAATAGAAGGTGAAATAGGACGCATTTATGCTAAAAGGAACTATGCCCCGTGGAAACCCTATGCACCCAGTTCCTTTCAGCACAAATATGTCCATCATAAATAAGTTCAGTGCTCGATTTGACTCGAGTAGACCTCGGGTTTTTTTTAGCATGAAGTGTGCATTGCCTAATGCAAAAAGCAGCACTTACTTTCTCACTTGTGACTGTTCGGAAATTTTCAGTGCGCTCATCGCATTCTACGTTAAACTTCGACAATGAAATATTTGGACTACTTTTTGCAATTAGGAATTACAAATTCTAGCTCAGCCTAGAAGCAATGTACTATGTATGTTTCTCCATGCACTTCAGTGTTTTTACAGAATAGTCAGAAATTTTTCTTCCTAACTGCCAAATGTAGTCCATTTATCGTTTGCTTAATTTTGTACCCTGTTTTGTAGTCTATTTGGGCTGCATTTTGCTATTCGAAACTACAATTTCTGGCTCATCTGTAAAAATATATGTTTAATGGATTGCAAAATGCAATCCATTTGTTTTTCCTCATTTAAATTTAAGTATTTGATTGTACTTTTATTCAACAGAATGTTTCGAATACCCAGTGATTAAAAGTAAGACTGTACAAGTTTAAAAACTTTGGCTTAGACAGTCAAGCAAAGTTCAAGGAAAAGAAAGCTCTGCTTTTTTCCATAATCTGTATCAGATGTAAAAGTAATTCCATCTAAGTGAAACCTTCTTTGACAAACTTACCTTTTACTTAATGAACTTTCCTTTTCTTCAGGTTCAACCTCTGAAATACCAGCTCTTGCCGATGAGCAAACTCTCGTTCCATCTTACCCTGACCCAATCAATAATCAAACCCTGAGTGAGCATGACATCAGCTCCAGCACCAATGTAAGTAATTTATCACGATTTTTGTCTTTTATTTATATCAAATGCATCGCATCACCGTGTCTTCGGTACTATAGTAAGAGAAAGTCTTTTTGATGTATTTCTCAACACTGATGGCAATAGACTCAGAAAAATTTGATGCAATTGCAGATATGAATGTACCTAAATGGACATATCTTCTGAAGCAGTCATATCGGAAGTAAAGGGAATTAAAAAAAAAAAAAAAAGATGAGAAAATGAGTGCTTAGCTGGTATATGGAATTGAAACTTTAATGCAACAATACAGGATTGGCGATTTTTTTTTATGTGTTTCACTGTGTACATACTGTAAGTAATATTCAGAATTTAAAGGTAGACAAAAAGCTAACTTTTTCCCATCATTCAAAAAGCAGCCTTCTCCTAAATTAAATTGTTCATCTTTCACCTTGAATACATTTGACACCTTTCATCCTTCTTCCCATTTTTACTGGGTTTCCCCTCTCATACAACTACATTGCGAGGTTGGAAAGTTTTTGTACCCCTGATAAATGCATGCAAGATGATATTTTAATGTGAAAATTAACAGAAATGTTTATTGGTCAGGAACGGACACTTTTTTAATTAAAGCTATGAATTTTAACTTTTCCTGTCTCTTGATGCTTGCAGGACACACAATCGTATTACACTCACACCATTTATAATGATCCAAAAATAGAAAATGAATATTGGGTGGACATGGACTCTCACAAAGATATGAAAATCAATGAATTGCTTTCTAAGTCACACAGAAGAGCAGCTGTAAGTACATAGGTTTTTTTAAGTCATTTGTATTGTAAAATACACTCAACCACTAAAGCACCTCACAAACAGTAACATCTATTTAGCATAATGTTGTAAATATTTGAAGACTGAAGTTCTTAGAGCTGCTGACAAAAATGTTTAAGCCGATAAGAGAAAATGGCCCTGTAAGAGAGAGTGGCCATGTGTATCAAGGTGGAGAAATGGTGCTGGGCCCACACGATTTCGCGAGGAAAACGAAGCCGAGAAATTCCCAAAATTATAATTAGAGTCAAAAATAAATTTCCTAAACTCTAATGAGTACCAGTACAAAATTGAGGGGGGAGAGTGTTCAGCTCAGGCAGTTTGCATCGGAATATTAAGTTGGAGTCGAGGGATCTATACCCATTTGAGTTTTTTAGACCTCATCAGCCGATCACACTCATCAGTGAACCCCTTGTGTATCTTTATATAACTATAAAATGAATAAATGAAAATGGGCTTGTTGCAGACCAGAAAACAAATATTTACCTAGAGGTAGCGTGCAAGAGTTTACATTAGTTTTTATTCAGATTTATACTGATCTACAAATTGCTGAATGTAACCATTTTTCAAAATGCATCATAGTTCATATGTACTTGAAATCATTTTATGCCTCTGCAAGCTTCCCTGCCATGAAATATAGACATTTTTAGTCAGGCTTATCTACATTAGAGCCTCTTTTCTAACTTTTCTTTTAAAATCTCAAGATTTCTAACAAGGGGAACTTCCTAAGCTGCTGCCTCCGATTGGACTGAAAAAATGTATTTATTTTTCTTTGGCACTGAGATGTAAGCTCTTTGAGGTAGAGCTATTGTGCAAGTCAGGCTTTAACAAATAATTGATAAAAATGTATAGAGAGGAATTTTTTTTAAAAATATAGAAGGTACACAGAAATTCATCAATGTTGTTATAGGCATTATCTAACATCAGCCTTTTTATTTGATTGAGGAAAGCTTGAAAATCATTGGATCAGAGGGAGTTCTCAATGACTAAAAGGAATGCGTAAATTCGTATGAACTCTTTGGATGGATTCATGAAGACCATGTTTTTTTTTGTTTTTCCCAATGCGCCCTGGAAATGCCCTCGAAAAATTCTGAAAAGTCCGGGTTTGAGCATGGGTAAGACACCCAGTGTGGGAGAGCTGGGCAAGGCGAAGGAGTACTTCCTTATCCTTACTCAGCCCTCCCAACGCATACTGGGTGTCTGGTGCGCACTGTCAGTGCTTGCTCAAAACTGGACTTTTTGGAATTTTTAAGAGTGTTAGGGCACATTGGAAAAAACAAAGAAACATGGTCCTAATGAATTCATCCAAAGCGTTTGTACAAATGGGCCTGTTGCAAACTTTTGCTAGAGCAAAACTAAGAGTCGTTTCTCATAGACAATGCCTTAAAAATCACAATGAGCGCATCAGCCAAGTCTGAAATGCACTCATAACTTCACAATCTGTGCAAGAAATTCGCGTTTTTTTTAGCTTCCCACTTCAAAAACGACACTACGGTACAGGTGAACATTTTGTTAGAGGAGTTGTTCCATCGTATGCAATATTCATCATGGCTGGCGCCAATCCATCAAAACACTTGTAATGGGACGAGATAACACCTGACTAGGGTAAGATCAGATAACAATCGGCGTGTTTACGTTCATATTTTCCTTGCCTGCCTTGATTGATCTTGAACTCTCCTCGAATTACGCGCGGAACTGCGGATTGGCATCGGCCATGATGGAAATTGCCGACGATGGAACGACTCCTCTTTCCTCTAACAGAATGTTCACCTGTGTCGTAGTATCGTTTTTGATCGGGAAGCTCAAAAAAGCGCAAATTTCTTACGCAGATTGTGAAGTTATGAGTGCATTTCAGACTTTGCCGATGCGCTCATCAAGTTTTTTGAGACATTATCTATAGGAAGCAACTCATATTTTTGCTCTAGCAAAAGTTTGCAACAGACTCATTCTTTCAGCCTGATCAGAGGCGGCAGCTTTGGAAATTCTCTTTGTACATAGGCTGTCCCAAAACAACTGACAGTGAGGCTGCCATTCGGGAACTTCAATAGATATCGACATGCGGTTTGCAGGAGGTGATAGCTCATACTCTTAGCTCTTAAACGAGCCTAAGTTGAGCTAGTTTGGTTGAAAACTCAACGAGTTACATCAATTTTCCCGAGACTGATAAAAAATACCCCTACAGGATTCTTCGGTAATTTTTCATTCCGTTAACTTTGCCTCCGCAAGCTGTGCAATTGGTTCAGACGTTATGAATTAAGTATCCACTTGTCTGGATGAAAGTTTGAACTTGTCAGCAAGTGTTTCCATCACAGTCAAGCGGTTTCTTTCTGTTTACAAAGTCAGTTTAATGAAATCGTCTGGCCTGATAACGCGTGTTTTTGTGTTTCGTCATGAGTTCACCCGCGGAGTTAAAGAAAGAAACTTCTCGACTGTGATGGAAACACTTGCTGATAAGTTCAAACTTTCATCCAGACAAGTGGAAACTTAATTTATAACGTCTGAACCAATTGCACAGCTTGCGGAGGCAAAGTTAACGGAATAAAAAATTACCGAAGAATCCTGTAGGGGTATTTTTTACCCGTCTCGGGAAAATTGATGTAACTCGTTAAGTTTTTAACCAAACTAGCTCAACTTAGGCTCCTTTAAGAGCTAAGAGTATGAGCTATCACCTCCTGCAAACCGCATGTCGATATCTATTGAAGTTCCCAAATGGCAGCCTTACTGTCAGTTGTTTTGGGACAGCCTATGTATGTAGGAAAGGCTCCTCAGATTAAACTAAGAAAGAAGAGGAACTCAAAGCCCTTGTCTCTGCTTGAAGTTGTTCTTCTCTGCATTCCAACTGCTTAGTCATCACATTGTGCTTTCTATTTTATAGACCCTGAGATTATCATTCCCGTTCCCGTTCTACGGCCACATGATCCGCAACGTCACAATTGCCACCGGAGGATTTCTGTATACCGGAGACTATGTTCATTCTTGGTTAGCCGCAACACAGTATATTGCACCTTTGATGGCCAACTTTGACACCAGGCTTCAGAATGATTCTTTCGTTAAATACGCTGATAATGGTAAGCTGAATTTAGTAGATATTATTCTGGCCTTTCAAAAATATTCATTATCTATTGAATATTAAAATATCTTGCTTCTGGATCTATCAGGAAAGAATTATATGGCCATAGAAGTCATGTGAGTGTAAAGGCACTATGCTTCTGACAGTTAGTGCGAATAGTTCTCAACTGTACAACGGGCTTGTCTAATCTAAATTGTGGTTTCTGATGGGGGTTTTTTTTGGGGGGGGGGGTTGTGATTTTTGTCCCCTCCAATTTATACCATTTTACAATTTGTGCAATGATCTGAGTGAATATTGCAAATCAACTGAAAAAATTTGACAAAATTTTAATCGCTATATCTTATGAGTCTTCATGTGGAAACCCAGTATTCCAAATAATTTTGGATGCCTAGAACTAATTACAATCCTGGCCCCCGTGACGGTTCAAACCAAGAATTTTGAAAAATAGTGGCGGCTGAAGCTAACGGTGTAATTGTTTGTTCCAAACATTGATTTGAGTACTATTACTGAGTTCAAAGAGATTAAACTGGGTAGATTTATTAGTGTATGAAGTCATCACTAATTTGGGTTAATCTTTTTTGTAAAGAATCCTAACGATCATCTTCTTTGATTTTTAGGAACTGCCCTCACAGTTCTGTGGGAAAACGTGCGCCTTCAAGATAGTCCAAAATCTGGGGAGTTTTCTTTTGAAGTTACCCTTGTGAATAACGGTGACATTATTTTTGTCTACAAGAAAGTTCCTTTTTCAATTAACTCCATAAAAGATGAGCATCACCCAGTGAAAGTGGGTCTATCAGATGCCTACATCATGGATCGTCATGTTTTCCGTAAGTATTGTGCAATCTTTTTTTTCACCTTTTTTTAGAATAGATGAATGCTTGCATTGAATGTTCAAATTTAGAAAAAGTGTAGGCAAGTGAGGTTGGTCGCATGTTCCATGAAAAAGGTGGATCATAAGTAAAAATCTGAGATCCACTCTGAATAATGTGTTGAAGAATCATTTTCAAGAAGTATTGTAGTCTTAAGACAGTATTTTGGAATTTTTTATCCAATGTGCGTTAAAAATCAGCATAAAACTGAAGTTTATGTATTGTAATCTTAGTTCATGGAAAGATTAATTCCTGAAGAAAAAAATATTTTTTTTGTCTCTGGCAGTCATTTCCAGTGCAATCATTGACAAAAATTTTTCATTTTCAAATCAGCACATGCAAATTGTCAATGTCTTAAAGTCAGAAAATGTTTTGCTACAGTGTCCGTAGACATTCAGTAATAATTACGTAACTTTAGCCTCTTACTTATTGTGGCAGAAAGGAGACCCATGGAGAAAGCAACTAAATCATTTCTTTGTTTGACTATTTTGGAAGAATGAATCAGGTTTACTTTGATCTCTTTATCTTAAAATTTTGTCACTTAAACAGCACGAGTCCATACAGAAAAAATTATTTCACATATTTCACTCTTTTTTTCTATTACATAATTCCCTTCAGTTTTTCTTATGTTTAATTATCTGTCTAATGCACCTCATAGAGAACATTTTAAATGTAATAGATCCTTACGCCTCTAATGTTTTTATTTCATTTGTAGTCGTTCGTCGTAAAACCATCTATGAATACCATCGAATTGGAATAGAGAAGGATCGGATTACCAACGGAACGGTAATAATCCTGAAATCCCTTCCAAGTTGCTTGAACTTCAAGAGCTGTGATTCTTGCTTGGCTCCAAACAATAACCACTTAAAGGTAAATACCTATCTGATAACTTACTGTGTTAAAACAATTGTTTACTTTGCAATTCGTTTCCCTTTGATTTTTTCACCCTTTATTTTAAATTAGTTTGACTATAGACTAAGTTTTAAAATTTCATCTTGTTCTAATAGAAGTGCATTCAAGGTATGTGTAGCCTTCAAAAGCTCTTAAGCATTATTACTTTATTCCATTGCATCAACTCTTAATTCGTGTTTCTTGAAAACTTTTTTTTTTGTTACCCAGACTTTGAATGTCCATGAAAAATTTTGCTCACAATATTTTTGTATTGAGAGTCATAAGAAGCTTAAATACTTGAAAAACTTGGCAAGTCCTCTTAAATTTACCCTTTTTTTTCTTTCTTCTTTCTTTGTTGTATGTATTGCAAAAGAGTTCCTGAGAAAAATTCTGTTGCTGAGTCCTTAAATAATCAAGAAAAAAACCATAAATTCTTATGTATTCTAAGTTAAAAGAAACTTAGATATTTGAGATACCTTGGCACATCGCCAATTCAAAGTTTACATTTCGTCAAGTTTTGTTTTATTTTCATTGTATACAACGTAAAATTTTGATCATGGAACTTGTATCTACTATGTGACTACTTGACTGATGAACTTGATGGAGTTGTTCTAATTTGTCAATAACTGATTTTGCAGTGTAACTGGTGTGAGAGCACAGGACTCTGTTCGACAGGAGTTGATAGACATCGGCAACAGTGGTTGCACAAAGAATGTGACAAAACAAGTGTTGAGCGGCGAAACGAATGCCCTGCTATCTCTCACAACTCGCATATGTCCGAATCTGTGGCTCGGGATTCAATGGGTGCTCCGCCAAAGAAAGGTACTCTTCTAATCATACAGCTATCATCTCTCATACTGATTTTTCTCATGTCTGAGGTGAAAAGAAGCTTAGAAGGAAGTATAAGAATGTCGGAAAAAAAACCATTGGCATTCTCCCTCAAAATATTTTTATTGGATGACTTCAACTTAATTCCTTTTTCCCGGTAGTTGCTCTTGTTGTCCAAAAGTTAAAAAACCTGTTAAATGCACCGAAAAAATATTTGAATATTACCATTTTTGATTATCTCATATCAGACTAAGTTCTTGGCAGGTTTAATGTTTTATGATATCTTTTTGTTCCTGTAAAGAATGATAAAAGAAAAAAGTAAGAAAGATTAGTTATATTTTTATTCTATTAAAAATCCCCTAAGCTTTAGTTAGAGAGATATATTCAACGGGGAGGATGGTTAAGAGGAAGAACTATCATACACCAGAAAAGTCTAAAAATTTATCAAGGATGCTTTGTTTAAAAATAATCAATATAACCTCCCTGAACTTTCTCTCTTAGTTATCATAACTCCTAGAATAGATAAATTCTGTATGTGTTTTTGTTTCAATTTTCAGCTGAACGCAGCATGATGGGTGTCATGGGAGTTTTCATGTTGACAGTTCTCATCTCTGGTGCTATTATGTGGGTGTTGTATGCTTACCGATATCCACATTCAATGTCCGGGCAAATTTTGATCAGGGTGAGCTATTTTTTACTTTTACTTTTTTTTATACAAGCAGAATGCAAGGAAATGTTTACTATACCCTTAAAGCCATTTACAAAACTTTTGATCAGCCCTTCATGCCATTCTATCAATTGACCAATGGCACATTAAAAGCTGCAGACGTTTTCTACAGTTTTTCAAAAAGTCTTACAATATCTTTTGTCCTCCAGGCAATTACTAGAAAAATGATCCACAGTTAGAAAGTATGTTTTGAGAAAGAAAAAAAAACACATTTAAATTTCATATTTCTGTGAAAGTTATATAAGAAATAAGAAATCTATGTATGATGCTTTTGGGTAGTTTGTTTTATTCCTTAGAAGGCTGTTATGTCGACTTCGCGATATTTGTTCTTCACCAGAATATTTGAGATTTTAAGAAGATTTTCACAGGCCGCTCTTCTATAAAACACCTGTAGAGGCCCTGAAATTGAAGAAAAAAATCACTTAAATACCACATCATGCATGCAAAACGGTCAGAAATCAATGATGATTTGTTAAAATGGCTTTAAGGGGCCTCAGAAACCCACAGTAGCGATTCTAGCAAGTTAGCAACACTGTCATAGTCCATTTAAATCCATTGAATACGTATATGACGATTCTAGGTAAAACAGGTTGCATAGGATTGATTGTTAAACACATATTTAAGTGGAGGAAAAACAGTGTTGCCATCCTGAAAGAATTGCTACCAGAAACTCCCACTCTGTGGAACTTGGCTCACGAGAAATCTTTGTCGTTATTGAATTTTAACAGATTTCTGCAGCTACCGTATGCTTGAATTATATACAGTGTGTTTGGCATTTTTAAACTTTATGAAGGGTCCTGGAAAAAACAATACCTCAACTCAATGGTCTCCTTTAATAGCTCAGGACTTCAGATGTCATCATAATATCGTTAGGGAGGAATCCAAAACGCTGACTTGGGCCAAAAATACCTATGTATGCGTACCAGTTGTTTCCCCAGCACATGCCTCAATTATGGAACTGAAACTTTCAACTTTTTCCAATCTGACTGTGCGATTGAAGTACCATATTTGTAGAGAATGTCCTAAAATGCGAAGTGACCATCAACATCTTTCAAAGCTGAAAGTAGCCAAGTTTTTCCTGCCTTTCTGAAAAGGATTGACCTACCAGCATTTCCTACGTACACAGTTTAAGATTTTCACAAAATATGTCTGTGGCTGTCCACAGAAAGAAGGGACTCAAGTCCTTTGAAGGTAAACTCTCAGTAGAACGTAAGTTTTTGATATTGAAACATGTTTGGCTGAACAGCGTTATAAATTGAAAGTATCGGGATAAAAGCCAATAGGCTGTGATAATACATGATTTATAAATTTATTACTTACATTGGGCTAAAACAAATGCCGAGGCTTTTTGGTTACACAGTACCATCGTCAAGGCATATAGGAAAATACAACAATATGAAATTTATAAATTATGTATTACCACAGTGTATTGGCTCTCATCCCAATACTCGTAATTTTTTGAGTCTAGTGGAAAACTCGAATTTTGAGATTTCTCTGGAAATATCAAACCCCAAAATTTCAACCACTATAAATCTAGTTTAGTTTCATATTTCCGCCTGAAATTGCTTGCAAAATTTCCGTCATCAATGTAACCAAAGTTAGAGTTTTTGTAGAATAACATCCCTCTTCCTGTGAGTGGTCTAGTAATTGCAACCTCTGGAATTGTTTTATAGTCGAGCGGCAAAGCCGTATTAACTCTAGGTTTCGCTAGAGGTGCCCCAAAAGTGTCCGTCCTTTCAGGCTATGTCCATTACGAGAATTTTACAGGAACCAAGTTACACTTTAAGTACTGACATTGGTGCTTTTTGGCCCAATTTTCCTTCTTTTTTCTCCCCATTTTGAAATTTTATTTGTTCACCCTTGATCTTAAATTCAAACTATTACTCTTCCTTTTAATTTATTCCTTTTTCCCTTCCATGTAGTACCGACCGAGCACTTGGGGCTGGAGACGAGAAGCTGGATACACAGCCGCAACAATCCACATGTGATTTTCTTCCTGTAAGTATTATTTTTTTCTGCGGACCTCAGCTTTCAACTAATTTTTTTTTTCAGTCGCTAATGAGTCAGTTCAGTCATTTTTTTAAATTGTGTCATTCGAAAGTAGTAAGTGACCGAAGCATACAGTTTTTTTCCTAATTTTTTTTTGATGACTGCAAACGGAAGAAAAGTTTATTTGAAAATGCCAAAAATTAGGGTGGCCTAAAATGGCGTTTGAACCGCGCACTCGTAGGTTCCGAATGTACACGTCACGATCAATATGGCGGCGGAATGCGTAGTGGGAGAATACACTGCGGCGTCATGTTGGCGATAGTTTTTGTTGGTCAATTGGAGGTTATGTAGGTTACTTTGTTTGAGATTCATATCCACTGTTCTTAAGGTTTATCTACAGCTCCGTGAAGTAAGAAATTTCTCTGTGCAGGGGGCACCGCCGTGTTTTGATTTTTTGGTCCACACTATTGTATTTGGTCCACATCTGATCGCGATGTAAAATCTCCACTCATTCTTTATATTTTTTTAAAAAAAGTAAAGATAGATCTTTCCGGCACTTTGCTTCAGCAAGCTATTTCATTCACTCAAAAATTTTCCCAGAAAATTTCAAGGTTATGTAAGTTAATTTTCAAAAGAATAAAATAAAACATCTTTATCTTTAAAGATTTTGTAATGTTGTAATGGAGATATGTACTTTTTGACTTTAAACATTGATATATTTTTACTGCTTTCGTCAATGCCGGAAATGAATGTTTCTGTCTCAATATTTTACAGGTTAAACTTTCACGAACTTTGCAGTTCTCTGCTCTCATCTGCTTTTTTCAACATTGGAACCAACATGTACAAATCAAGTGGCCTTCAGTAACTTGTATGATACTGCTCAAGTTGATATTTTGCAAAAAAAAAGACGTGTTAATAGTTTCTATACATATTTTACTTTATTTGTACTTTCTTGTAATCTATTATAAATATTGTTAAAATGAATGAGTTTCTGGTGCAGGGAGTTGTCAATGTCAAGTGTTAGACAGTGTCTTATTTTTACTCTTTTTATCATTGAATTTATTTTAGTGAAATAGGTGCTTTTTTATTTTACTTAAATTAGAGGACATGCAACTCCTCTCTCTTCCCAGGAAAGCCAGAAACTCGTTTATTTGTTTGTTTGTTTTAATAATCGTAGATGAAGCAATCATTTCAGCAAATATTGAAACTTCTGGAAGGCAGAGTGTGCTGGTCAACCTATCTGGTTTTCAAAAGCAACACTTTACACATCATTATGACAGTTTTTTTGGAGACAAAGGTTACCAATCCAGCTAAAAATGGCTTGATTGCTGAACTGAATAGGAAAAAAGCATCTGATGAAAAAAAAACAAAAAGTGACAAACCCTATTTTCAAATAAAATGTTAAAGAATATCATTACTTGATGATTTCTTCTCTTCTTACAATCTTTCTCGTTGCATGAAGAATATTTTACGAGAATCTCAAATGGGGAAGTTTGACTGTAGAACTCCAGAAAGGGCATCTCAAATTGCCGTAGTGCAGACTTCTTGTCATGATTTATTTTCTACATAGAAGATCTTTCAACCCCATTTCATGAAAATTTCCATGATTTTTCTTCTCTGTCTGGGGAATATTCTGATACATTTTCAAACCATGAAATTGGTTTGGTCTTCTTTAAAAAATAAAATAGACTGAAACACCAGAGATTTGGAAACCCTGCAATCAAGATATGCGTTTTTGCAGTTCCACTGTCAAGTTTGTTTATTTCCTTTATAAAGATACCTCAGGGGCAGCAATTTCAAACTGTATTTTTTAAGAGTTTAATGGTGACGCTGTTTGCATACTGCTATATCAAAGAAAATTGACTGTCTGAATGTTGCCTGTGTATAGTTTTGTTGAAATGGTTGCTGTTTTTGAACAATTCACGTAGAGGAAAGTTGTAACAAAACTGAAATAATCTTCTGGTTTTTTTTCCTACATGCATAATCACTGTATATATTTCTTGTATATTAATGCATGCTGTTTACCCATCTGGATTTCAAATTGTAAGTAGTGTGTTAGTTACTATCTCTCAGTATTAATTTTTGTATCAGCTTACTCACTCATATGGCCCAACTGAGTTCCATTTAGTATTTCTAATAATCAAGGTCTCAATTCTGTTAAGCCCAATTGACGCAGTTAAAACTTTTATTTAGGAAAGCAAAAAATTTGATGCTGTTTATATTGCTGTGCGGCATCGTCAGTTATTTTATGGCAGCTTTCAGTCTGTGCAGGTGGAGTTGTGGCTAATTTTTGGTGGGAGGTTTTACGACGGCTTTTTCCGTATTGGCAGTGCCAAATTGCATGAAAAGTTGAATGGTTAATTGCACCCAAGGCTAGGCGTCATATTCTAGTTACTATCTTTGTTCTTTACTTGTTTTCTTAAAAAACTCTGGTGTAAATTTACATAGCCTCTCTACAGTATAGCATAATTTTAAAGATTTTTCAGTACATATATTTTATCATAATTAAGTAATGTTGACTCATTTTCGCTTCATCTGCCACTAATTTTTTCCAGATTTTGATGGAAATCTTTCCTGTAAATGACTCTCAGCTCTGGGATATTTCTTCCTTACCTTTATCTTTTGACTCATTATACCAGCAACAATTGTTTTGATGTTGTGGCCTGCCTTTTATTAAGCATCTTCAAATTGTGTTTATTGCAGTACTAAACATAGTGGCTGTTTTACACAAAATTCGACGGAGTTTGTCTTCTGTTGGAAACTTCAGTTTCTGTAGTGACCCTTAAATTTGTTTTATTGTTGTAATCAAGTGCCTTAATGAACTGCTAACTATGTGTTGGTGAGTTTGGAATCTACCAAGGGTATAAATCATATTGTGTAGTACTAAAGACTTAAAACAAACAACAATAAAATTATTAAACTTTTGTCTGTCATTTTAAAGGAAAAATGGAAAAAAAATATATTATTTCTTTTGACCGGGATAAAACTTCAAAATAGGTTTTCAGAATATTTAAGTTTGATTCACTGTCAATAAATTTACACTTGTCAAGAAGCTGATAAGTACTTTTGTAATATGAATAGAAACTTCTGAGTGCACCAAGCACAGGAATATCAACGACCTTTAAGTTTGCATGTATTGAAAGAACTAACTCTAAAAAAGCATTGCTGTCGAAATAAACGTATCTAAATGGGAGGCTTTGTCGAATGACATGGCGTATAGAGACATCCTTGCACTCAAAAATGTATTGCTTTTCTTTTCTCTACTTCTCAAAATAATGTGAAAAATTCTCTGAAATCAGCTTATCAAGCATTCTCCTCTGAAAGAAGGAAAACGTCTGTTGCGAATTCTTTCTTCTTATTTTGTTTTGGATCTCTTATCATCAATAATTAACTAAAGGTTTCAGTATTATTCGACAATGGGCCACCAGACAAGGTATGAATTAAAGCACTACGTGACATGTTCCCTCCACAAAATTTCACGAGGAAAACGAATCGCACAACAGGAGGTCTGGACATCAACTCCTAAACAAGCTTTGTATGTTCACAATTACCAGTAGGTAAATGGCAAGATGCAAACTCAGACTCCGTTTGATCTGTGTCAAAAATGCTTGTTAGTATCTTGTTCAGAAATTGGTCTCTGAACATTCCGTTATGTGGAACGTTTTCTACGTAAGATTTTGAAGAGGAAGCATGTGCGTTTTCTTTTAAGTTGGATCTTGTTCAGTCTTCCATTTTCTAGGACACTTTTATTCCAGTGTGAAAGTTCTATTAGTTTTACTTGTTTTTCCATAATTTTATCAACATCTATGAGTCAAAATTGAACTTACAACTCGTCATTTGCTAAAATGACATCAAAATATATTAACGGTTCATTAATATTAGAATCCTGAAAACTTTGAAGACCCATTTTGTACGTTCCTCCCACTAAGTCCTGAGGAATGACCGACAGAAAGTTAATTTGCAATATTTGTTTGTTCGTTGTTTTTCTCACCATTTTTTTGTGAGTTGTGTTTGCAAAAGACAATAATCAGAAAAGCCTTAATTTTTTTATTTACCTACTTTAACCTACCATGTACTTGAAAACAGGCTGCAATAGAATAGTGTTTTTTATTCAAATCCTTTCTTCAAATTGTTACTTTTAATATCTCCTCGATTATTTTAAGTTGGAAGTTTTAAACTTCATAATTTTGGGAGGGTAACACGAGGGGTAAAGTAGACATCTAGGACCTTCATTATGTGTGTTTATGCTTCGATAGCAGGGATTAAAATCTAGTTAAGGCACCTACTGTTTCCAGCCCACCAGTAGCTCCAATTAAAGGCTTGCTCGGTGTTCAGCAGCTCGCTTATGGGTTAGGACTGTGGCTTCAAACCCCTGAACTCCCCCCCCCCCCCTTTGAAGCAACATTTCCTTATCCGCAGACAGATCCCTTGTGCCAATATTATATTTCGAAAAAATTCTCATACAGGTTTTATCAATTCACTCTACGCACTGGTATCGTTTCGGAATCTCTTCCATTAGTTTAAATGTACAACACCAAATCATTGGGAAACTTTTTGTGCTTACACATTCTTTGAAACTTTGTTAAAAATTTACTCTTCTTTTGTTGTTTTTAATGAGCGTGAATTTAATCCCAGCTGAGCTTCAGATAAAGTATTTAAATCAATGTTTTACTCCTAGCACATTAGTAACCTTTCAAAAATTGTTTTCACACATCATATCTTTATATTTGTTTTATTACGCATTGTGTACAAATAAATTTTCTCTGTGATCATTTTTAATTTCGTTTCAACCATTGATTAAAATCTCACTTTTACCCTCAAGCGTTTCATAATATTACCAATGAACTGAAGCATTTACTTTGCTCTAGTTACTGTGATCGCTGAAGGTCAGGATAGTGCGTATCAGGCTACCACCATGAAGCTTGGTGAAAATGTCATTTTAAATCCATAGAACAAATATCAATCGAGCATTGTCCTGAAAGGAATTCCAGTTAATTCCAATGGAATGTTTTTGATAGCAACTAAAATTTGTTTCAAACATGTAGAAATTTCCTGCCTCATTAGCGTAGAATGTATGCTGTAAAAGCAAAGGTGCGCCTAGCCGAAATTGCGTTTGCAGCGAGTCATATCTTCGACTTGGGGCTAGGGTTGGACAGGCAAATGAACTGTTTTTGTGGTAATAAATTAAATATTGTGAAAATTTGAAGGCACCTCAAGTCAAACCCTTGCTTTAGAAGTCCTTTACAGTGGAAACTTTCAATTCACCTTTGAAAAAAAGACGAAACTCAATTGTTTGTCGTCCCTAGAGTGTCTCTTGTTGGGAGTTATTGATGCAAAATGCAAAAAATAAAATAATGGAAGCATTCATGCTCTTATTAGATATGGATTGCATTTTGCAAAAAGGAACCAAGAGCATTCCAGTGTCGCTGAAATTCTGCAACTTTTTTTTCCTTGCAAATATAAACTGAACATCTAAACAAGTCTTATCATTACTCCCAATAAACTATAATTTCGAGACGAAATTACCTTTGTAGATTAAATTTTTTGCGTGATTTCAGTAATTTTCTTATTGTGAGTAGCGCAATCTTAGCAACATTGGATATCTCTAGGTTCCTTTTTGCAAAATGCAATCCATATAATATATGTAATACAATACTTGTATAACATGCAACTTGCTTAAAAATTGAAACCAAAGAGAACGAAGGAAAAGGATGAAGCAGAAGACATTAAAAAAAACAAATAGCATGCAACTTACAACAAAACATGCCCTGATACACTTCCAAGCTCTTTTAAACACTCTTCTACACACACTTGTATACGTACGTACAAATACTTATGCATTGTCGGCCTCCTGTGGTGTAGTAGTTGTAGCGCTGGCCCTATGACCAATAGGTGCCGGGTTCGATTCCAGGCCAGGTGATCTGAGTTTGATGGTCTCAGGTAATGCTCACCTGGGGCTGGGGTAATAAGCATGGGATTAGCCAATGGGCTATTTGAAATTGGTAAAAAAAAAAAAAAAAAAAAAATTCGTAAAAGTACAAATGTATGGCTTAAAGAATGTGTCCCATTAAGGAGGGTATTTTGGCCCTAATTTTGGTTGGATATTGAAACAGCTTGGAATAATGTCATGTATGGTCAAATCGACTCTTAATCATCTACCCTTGTTCCCCCTCCTTTAAATATGTTGCAATGGATGTACTAAATATTAACATATTCGAATATGAAAGTGGTAGTCCCTTGTACTCATACATAAAAAATCTAATTTAGGACCAAAAATGAGCAGTTATTGGAGAAAACTGCAAAACTTCACTACTTTGCGCTGGTAATTCAGGCAAAAACCTTTCAAATAAGGACAAGTGCTCACAGGGTAGATGATTGAGAGTCGATTTGACCATACATGACATTATTCTAAGCTGTTTCAATTTTCGACCAAAGTTAGGGCCAAAATACCCACCTTAATGGGACACATCCTTTTCAGATAAAATGGATCTTTAGTATGATTCCATTAAGCATTCAGTTAGTAACTTTTTTTGGAGAATCACGGTAGACTAGACACCCTGACAATGGGAGTACCTGACCTAACTAAATCTTTTGTTTGATTTACCGAAACCTGAACTGATTTCTCCCTGCTTAGTTCAATACAATTTTAGCAAAGCCATGCTACTATATTTAAAGTGAAACCACGTGTCTTCTTCCGCGACGTTGCAGACACCCTGTCATTGTCATACTCATTTTTCTAATGAAAAACTAGTACTTCTTGAGAACTGCCTCGACTTTTCTTTTGTGTTGGCAGGACGTCCTGAACAAATTTCAAGCAATAAAGTTGACTTATGTCTCTTCAGGAAAATAAAATAGGGGGGGGGATTTTAAAATACCGCAATGGAGATACGTGGTTGTGCTTCTCATGTTTTGCACTTAGGCTATCACTGGGAGAGGAGGGGAGCAGAGGGGAACGAGTGCGCTCATTCAAGTAAACTTTCGGTGGCGCCGGCGGGAAACCCTGTGATTGGATGCGTGTTCCCGCGTTTTTCGCACGAACTCATTGGATAACCACAGTTTACCACAGAAACCAAAGACATAAAGACGGAGGGCTAAAAGCAAAAAATGAAGCTTCTTTTCAACCACCTCTACGATTGGCTGGGCGGGAACTAAATAAAATTGCGGTAACAAAGTATTCTAGGTTGATTTTTGCCCAAATTCACTTACCCACTCATATTTTTTCAACTTTAGGTTAGTTTTGGTCCGTCGTCGACCGATTAATTTCATTTGGGAGTAACAGCTGGAACTGTAACGGCCTGTTTGAACCTGCAGAACCACCATGAGCAGAAGAAAAACTAACTTTATCTTAGATTACTGCCTGTTACCGAGCAAAAGTAGGTGTATCATAATAGAACGCAGTCCCAACTTTCTTAATATATTCGTTTTAGGCATTTAAAATACGATTCGAAGAAGAAATGTGGAAAAATCAAGAGGACAAGTTCAAATCAAATTTCCGTTTGCCGCCATGGATTCCCGCGCTCATTTACACACTCACACAAGCACCCAGCGCCAAACCAGGCTTCACTTTTTCCCCATGCTTTTAGATACGAGCACCGTCTTTATATGTCTTTGACAGAAACCTTTCTGTGGGATAACCAACCTCCAAATTCCATAGCGTCAACATTTGCATTTGCAACACCTTAGTCAGCGATAACGTACTTGGTTTGCGAGAGATGCATTGTGCAGTTATGTTCGTCTTACAGTTTGTTTCTCTTCGGTTTCAACTCGGTTTTATTTAAAGTCAGACTTTGGTTGGTTTCGGATTCAACGCTGCCCTTCTCTTCAACGCCAATGCTTGGTACCAAGCCTTCCTCTAAAACAGTTTAACTCCTAAACACTCACTTGTCCGTAAGTACACACCACCATATTCGATGAGATTTGAACTTGATCGTCTGTAATAATGAAGTCAAGTCAAACCTAAGTACACCACTAACAGGAGCAGCTGGTGGATGTGTGTTTTTCACTTACAAGTTTCAACTCGACTAACATCTTGTCTCTACTTACAGGATGTTTCACAGGATTTTTCCCAAGTTCGAATCGCAGGAATGAAACTTCTGGGCTTTTTTCCCATTGAACAACACAACAAAATCTCTTTTTCTTTTGTTAAGTTGTTCCTGAGACTCCGCAATGACTCTTAGTTGGCACTTTGGCTAGTATTGACCAGAGACGAGGGACCCTCCACTGGCCTCATGGCGACAGGTGGAAACTTTTATTTTTGGGAGTTCAACAATTCCATATGGACAATTATAAGGGAGCAGCAATCATCATCTTGATTTCGTCTGTTGACCTACCTACATGGTGGCTAATAAGCTTCAGGTGACATCACGAGCCAAACACGTTTCCGAAACTTCGGCCATTTTCGGCTTGATTGCATAATGGAACTGCCAACACGTTGTTGAACATTAACTATGTAGGTAAGTCAACAGTAGAATGCTGTAATCCTGAAAGTAAAAGCTTCCACCATGGCCAAGATACTAGTGGAGGGTCCCTTGTCTTTGGTATTGACTAACTCAATATTGTTCCCAACTTCGGAAGGAGAGATTTTTCCCTGGGACAAATCCCCATGAAATGTACCGTGGAGACAAGACCATACTTTCTACAAGATGCCTCCCTCCACTTATTTTAAATTAAATATTTTTCCATACACATACATACTTATAGGTTGCTTTATAGCACTCCCTAGCGCTCTACGACTCCTAACCTCCACTGCTCTCTGTCGAACATAGAGTACATAGAGTCGTAATGTAATTGGGAGAGCTGGCGCCACTTTTAAGCATTTTCCATGTCCCGAATTCCGAGACTCCTGTGTGATGCCGGGTCACTTTTTCGATATCTAATCGATTGTTTGCGATACACGGGTACCCAGCCATCCGATGACAACAACAACAACAACGGAGATAGGAATTACCACGTATTCCACACCGCCATTTTGGATCGAAAATGTATGGAAAAAGCGACCCGAACTCGGCGCACACCGGGCTCGGAATTCGTCGAGCAGAACATGGCGCCAGCTCTCCCATTTACATTACGACTCTATGTACTCTATGCTGTCGAACCACAAACCTTGGGACATTGAGCACCTAAACATCTCTGCTTTAATCCCCTCCCTCCTACCTCTTATTGGGCGCCATCTCCCGGGAGGAACCCAATCAACCTTCTTCGGCAACCTGCCTCCTGCCATTTTCTGAACATGATCATACCAAATAAGTTGTTTTGTCATGATGGTCTAACAGAAATCGAAAACTGTATCAAATGTGAGGTTTTCTTCCAAACAGGATTCTGCTTTCATTTTCCTAAATTTTGCCAATTTTTTGACATTAGGATGATTCTTTAGGCTCATTCGCAGGTGCTATCGTCTTTTTTTTGGCTGAAAATTCTATATCTGCCGAGATTTTTTACCTAATCGATGCGATATTTATCATGCCAGTTCGACCACGTCACTTGAGCTTGACGAATCACCTTAAATCTCAGTGCAGTATGTGGCGATTGTTTGTGACCGGGTATCTTCGCTACCGGCGAACTTCGAATTCTGTGGCTACGTCACTTTCGTCGCGTTTTGCGGGTGAATTGCGAATTTTCAACATTTCGTGGAATCCTCCCATGATTCACATGAGGGCACTGACAAATTAACGTAATTTTCTGTAAATGAGATATTGAATTTTTTGGGAAAGTACTGGAATGCTGCTTTACTCAGAAGGACTGATTTTTTGCCAGGCAGTTCTAGTAGACACCCTGGAGGTAGAATTTAACATGATCTTGATCGCAGAATAAAGCTTCGCATAAGTTGAGAATTCCTTGATAAAGCTCTTGCTGGTGGCGAGTCATTGAAAATTTGGAAATTTAAAAATGATTCACACATTTTAGAGCCAGCGTTACTTAATACGCCTTAGGCAAGATCCATCCATATAGGTCAGTCATTGCGCAGATTTCCCCGCTCGGGGTAAGCCCCTTTCCATTGGCTCGTGACGTCAGCATTACTGCCGCGAAAACCAGAAAAGTCGGAAACAATGCTTTTCTTATGGGAGAGAGCAAATTTTTCTTAATGAATCATTTAAATTTCTTACTTTTAAATCCTTTGAAACTTTCTGTGTGTCGAAAAGAACGTTTAGACATTAGCATTCAGGGTTTCGATTTTGCCGAATTTGTGTTCTTTCATTTTTACAGTTTACTCTGCATCAGCCATTTTTACACGCGAATCTATACCACTAGATGGCTTGTTACATCGCTGACTTCAAAAATCATTTAAAAATATAAAAACGCAAATTCAGCTGAATTGAAACCCTTGACGCTAATTTCTAAACGTTCCTTTCGACACTCAGAAAGCTTCAAAGAATTTAAAAGTAAGAAATTTAAATGATTCATTAAGAAAAATTTGTTCTCTCCCATAAGAAAAGCATTGTTTCCGACATTTCTGGTTTTCGCGGCAGTAATGCTGACGTCATGCGCAGAAGATTCTCATTTGGGTTTCGGGAATGACTGACCTATATGGATGGATCTTGGCCTTAGGAAAACAGGGGAAACTCGGAGGCTCTGAAGGGACCTGGAAATATTTGGGGATGACTCAGGGACAATGGAGCGTGAAAACTTTTCTTCGGTGGTTCTCGACCAAAGAGTACAATACTGATGTGCCGAGGGAAAACGCCGTGTGAAACTTCAGGCGTTGCCAGTTTTCCTTCGGTAAATTTAGAATTTTTGTGGAAAATTTGTAAATATTTTCCCTCAAATTTTTCATATAAGTTTGTTCGCCATTTTACCTGAAGTTCCTGAAAATTTCAAGGAAAAATATTCTTAACTTTCTATAAAAGTAAGTATTTTCTGAGAGGAAATTCGGCAACACTCGAATCTTCGCAAGGCGTTGTTCCTTAGCAAGGCAGAATTGAGTCGCAATGTGCCAGAGCGCCGATGAAGTCAATTGTCTAAGTAGTGCTTCTGAGACTGGTGTGTGGCGACTAGCGTTGCCGTATGCGCAGGGTCTGGGCTTCGCTCAGAAGCGTATTTTATTAGTGGATGCGCATCCAAAATCGGCGACAGATGCGAAATTTTCCGTTTTTTTATTTCTCGCATCCAGTGCCGTATCCAGTTTCCAGTTTGGTAATGAGTTTGGTGAAAGGGGTGGTAGTTTGACAATTGGTTTGACAAATGAAGTAGAAAGTAGAAGCGTATTTTATTAGTTATGCAAGTGGATGCGCATCCAAAATCGGCGACGGATGCGAAATTTTCCGTATTTTATTTCGCGCATCCAGTGCCGTATCCAGTTTCCAGTTTGGTTATGAGTTTGATGAAAAGGTTGGTAGTTTGACAATTGCTTTGACAGATGACGTAGAAAGTGGAAGCTCATCCAAAAACTGGAAGCAAGTCTCGCCTGTCCAAGACTCGCTTCCATTAGTATGCATTTGCCTTGTGAGAGGCGCGCGAATTCAAATGTTTGTAGCATTCGATGGCAACACTGCGGAATAAAGCAGGAAATGTTCTTGCAAGAATGCTTGAAATATAAGTATGCTTGTTCAATTTTGTTTTCAATACTTTTAGAGTTTATTTATTCCCTCATTTAATTACGTAGGTCATAATTCATGAACCACAGTAAAATTGTTTTTCAATTCGAATGCTGATTAATTCGAACTTCGGAGTAGGTATGCGGTATCACGCGAAAATAAAAAAAAGGAGATTCTTAGCTCTTCTCCTATCTGAATTTACTACGCGCATGCAATCTATTCTCGCATCGATATTAAATCCGCATATTTTCTGCAATTGAGGCTTACCTCAATTTTTACCACTATTTCTAAATCGTGGGATCTCTACTGTTCTTCATCAACCGCCGTAAAATTTGCGTGCACGCCGCGATATCGAGGCGAATATTGCGTATACGCAAAAATTTAATTAATAAAAATTATAATTTTTAATCATTTTACGGAACCTCTGGAACAATCGCGTATTTGCCGCAATATTACGACGATTATTGCGTAATTTATCTTTTTTCATGCAAAATTGCGAGAGAAAAAACGTATTTCTTGTGGTACCGAGATGAAAAGCTCGAAAATTCCTCAGGATTTAATGATTCCGTCGGAAATATCGCGTACGTTTCACGATATGGGGTGTTAATCGAGCAGTTTCTCACTTTCTAGTGGTGAGAATTGAAGCGAGCAACTATTTGAACTTCGGAGTAGGTATGCGGTATCACCCGAAATTGAAGGAGATTCATATCTTTTCTCCCATCTGAATTTACTACGCTCTTGAAAACTATGCTCGCATCCACATTGAAGTTGCGTATTTTCCGCGACCGAGGTGAAAATTGTGGGATCTCTAATGTTTTTCAACAACCGCTGTAAAGTTTGCGTGCACGCCGCGATATCGAGGCAACTATTGCGTAATTTTTAATCATTTTACAAAACCTCTGGAACGATGAGCCTGTTTCAAGCTTTTGCTAGAGCAAAAATATGGGTTTCAGGACATTTCATCAACGATTTTTTGTCAGCGCACCTTTTTTGTCCAGTAGTTTACATCCACACGTAAAATTAGCAACAGTGTCTTGGTCCAAGCGTTATATTTTAGTCGGTATGTAAAATTATATTGACAACTAGGGGCCTGAGGCCGCTACGCGGCCGCTGAACACTGGAAGGGAACTGCTCGTAAGAAATCATAGAACAACCACGTTCAAGTTATTTATTATAATTGAATAGCAACTTGAATCGACAATAAATTTTGAAAGAAGATATAACATGCTCTGAAATTTTGGAAAATGAAATTGGAATTTTGAATTTATCATTATTTAATAACAATTTAAATATATAATCTGGAAAAATTAAATTATTCCGAGAAATAATTTCGGACTTTTAAATGTGAAGTGCCAG